ATGCCTTTAAATGCAAGAAATTGTTCAGATGACCAAAAATGTGTTATATACATTTAAAGAAACATATAGTATCTTCCACAGATATTTATTCATCATGAAATTCCCAGATTTGTACAGTTCTTTAAAAATACAATGGGGAATTAAAAATAATCCTTTTCTGTCTAAATGTATTCTTAAAGGAGGAAGTGGAGAGACAGAAGTGCATCCTGGCCACTGAGAATGAGCCAGGCAGAATTATTTCATTCAGTCTTTAACTTGGTGTGAAAACCTAATCTCATTGAAGTCAACAGTAATAGGATTGAATCTTTAGCTTTAATTCTACCTTGAGAGTGAAATTTTCACTTGCCCAGAGACATGGTAAGGCTAATGCATCACTCCAGTCTCATTTAGACTTTACTGCACCTCCACTTCTCTCTTTAATGAATTTGCAATTAGTGTTCACCCACCTATATGGAGGATGAACTTCTTTATAATCAGAATTCTATTGTGAGACAAATTCTAGAATACATTTATTTATTTTAATTAACAGAAAACAACACCACTTTTTAATCAAGATAACATTAAATGCTTGAAAACACTCCAAATTTTCTGGAAACAGACTTTGTCCCTGAGGCCCTAGTTTTGCCCGCACTTGTTACCTTGTGCAGAACATAAGGTCTAACTGACTTTTTTCCTCATTTTTCTTCAAGTGTCTATATCCGATATGCTGGTATAAATGTGTTTATGTAATGGAAAAAATAATTTCCTCAAAGTTGCATTAATCTGTATGGAGCTGATATGTTCTCCCTGACTATACATTCAAGTCATGTTATAAACATGTTACCTCTCTTGATAGCTAATTTTTAAACGGCACTTACAGTTTTTTCTTCAACTGCAAATTGAAGGAAAATGGATTTTGAAGTGTAATAAGAGAAGGGAAAAAACTAATTTAAGGCTTTTGATGCAGGCAGAATGATACATTACTATATGGAAAAATAAAATATTGCTATATAAAGAGGTTTTACCATGCAAAAGCTGAATTTAGTCATCAAAATTAATATAAATTTTATGTATATTGTTGATTTCCAGGTCAACTCAAATGCAATGCTTTGTAGTAATACATGGTGTAAAAATTTAACAGGCATTATTTATTGTCCGTACATTAGGACTCAGTAAATAGAAGTACATGGCACATTAAATAGCTTCACTGGCTTTGCAAACACCATGCAGAGCAGAATTCCATTCAGGAAAATTTGTGGTGTTAGAATCCACACCTAAAGATTTCGCACAGTTCCAAAAATTTTTCATCATTTGTGAAGAATGATTACATTTTAGAACAATTGTTTCTTTGAACAAAGTATTACTGTGTTCAGCTCTGGAGCTCCCACCATAAGAAAGACATGAACCTTCTTCAGCAAGTCCAGAGGAGGCCACGAAGATGCTCAGAGGGCTGGAGCACCTCTGCTATGGGGACAGGCTGAGAGAGTTGGGCTTGTTCAGCCTGGAGAAGAGAAGGCTCCGGGGAGACCTTATAGCACCTTCTAGTACCTGAAGGGGCTACAAGGAAGCTGGGGGGGGACTTTTTACAAGGGCCTGTAGTGACAGGACAAGGGGTAACGGGTTTAAATTGAAAGCGGGGAGGTTTAGATTAGATATCAAGAAGAAGTTCTTCCCGGAGCGGGTGGTGAGGCACTGGGACAGGTTGACCAGAGCAGCTGTGGATGCCCCATCCCTGGAAGTGTTCAAGGCCAGGCTGGATGAGGCTTTGAGCACCCTGGTCTAGTGGGAGGTGTCCCTGCCCATGGCAGGGGGGTTGGAACTAGGTGGTCTTTAAGGGCCTTTCCAACACAAAGCTTTCTATGATTCTGCCGTATTACTCACGTGAGCTCATTTAAGATAGTTGAGGAGATACCAGTGCAAGGATTCTTAAAAGTGATCTTTAATTTTTAATGTGCAGAGATTGTTTGTAAAATGACTTCATAAAATTTTCAAATCTGTGTCCCACAAGTATGCAGAATGGTAGCTGCTCACTTTTATATCCAAACCAGTGATAACAAAGTTCAGATTTGTTTTATTGAAGTTGATCCAAATTTTGGACACTATTCTGACTCAATTTCATTCAATTTACTTCCAATACTAGTTTACTTTTAATACTAGTTAATCTACAAGTCAGACAACAAATTTTGACTTTCAGGTCACAATTTTGCATACTTGTAGAAGTCAGAAAAGCAGGATTGTCAATGAAGCGAACTCAGTTTTCCTTCCTGCAAGTTTCCCAGACTCTTGAAACTTCATATTTACTCTGGGGGAAGTTTTTCATGTAGACAGACTTGTATAATAGTTCTTTGTTCATTACCTTGGTGTGGAAGTCATGAGGAAAGATAATACACTTTAAAACTGTGTCAGACTTACAAAATTATGTCCCAAGTAGAACCTACCTACACACCTTTTAATGACTGCTAATTTCAGCTACAATATTTTTATTATCTACCACCAAGTTAAGTTTGTGCCACCTCTTTTTTACCCTTATTCACAAATTTTTCAGCTTTCATCAGGCTACTGTTGTATGAGTCCTATGGTGTTGAACATCAGAGATTATCAGAAATTATCTGAAGAATATGAAAGAAGCTAGAAGCATCGTCACACTTGTTACTTTGCTGTACTTTACATAGACTTATGCGAAGCAAATAAAACATTTAAAATACTGTTGTTCTTTGGTGTTTTACTGTAAGTATAGCAACATAAGGGTGATGTTTAATATGTCTTTATGGATTCAGAAGTGTATTAGCTGTACAAATTAATATTATTATAGAAATATTTTTCATAATAACCAGGTCAGGAAACCCAAACAGGAATGTAATAACGACCAGTTTCCCTTTCCCTGTTTCAATATCTGACATTGATTCACCAAAGGCCTGTCTCCTCTCCCCTGAACAGTGGTACTAAGAGTAATGTGCATTTCAGGTCTAATGATAACATAACTTAATTAAAGGTGTATTTTCACTCAGTTCCCTAATCTGATTCAGACGTATAGCAAACAACATTTTGTAAAATGCTACGATGCTGTGAGGTATCACCCACATTTGTATGGTCACTGTTACAATATTTTACCTGAAAAAGAAGAAATCCAGTTGGAATTTGAGGTGAGTTTGAAAAGAAAATGGGAAATCATCCTTTTATTTTATAAACTCTGTAAACCTGAACTGTAAGTACATTAATGATAGGATTGAGATCACCTGTCTTTGTCTGAAACAAGCTGCCTAATCATAGGATCATAGAATCACAGAATCACTAAGGTTGGAAAAGACCTATAAGATCATCTAGTCCAACCATCAACCCAACACTACCATACCCACCAGACCATGTCCTCAAGTGTCACATCTAATGGTTTGGGTTGGAAGGGACCATAAAGATGATCTAGTTCCAACTCCCTCCCTGCCATGGGCAGGGACACCTTCCACTAGACCAGGTTGCTCAAAGCCTCATCCAGCCTGGCCTTGAACACTTCCAGGGATGGAACATCCACACCTTCTCTGGGCAACCTGTTCTGGTGCCCCACCACCCTCTTGGTGAAGAATTTCTCCCTTATATCCAAACTAAATCTACCTTCTTTCAATTTAAACCCATTACCCCTTGTCCTGTCACTACTAACCCTTGTCAAATGTCACCCCCCAACTTCCTTGTAGTCCCCTTCAGGTACTGGAACAATGCTGTAAGGTCTCTTAGAAACCACCTTTTCTGCAGGCTGAACAGGCTGAGATAATAATCTTCATGACATAATAGTCAAAGACACAGTCAGTAAGGTCTGTCGATTTGTTCCTCAGACTAATACAGATGTCCATTTCAAGATGAAAGAAATAATTTCCTAGAACTCCAAGGTCTACTGTAGGAATTTAGAAAAAAAATCACATGCAAACACCTACATTGGTGTCCCAAATTAGGGGACATGCAAACACCTACATTGGCATCCCAAATTAGGCAAGTCCAGTCTAGGTATCAAAAGTGGGAGGTTTGAAGTAGTAATCAGAGCTCCTCCTAAAGTCAATGAAAGGAGACCAGCACCTCCACAAAACAATTCATCTCGTCCTTGGATGTGTGTTTATCACATATGGAAGGAAGCATATCTCCACGACAGGGAATCCTGAAGGTTAGCTTAGATGCCAACAGTGGATTTTGTTTGAGATTAAATGTAGTCATGTAACACGTTGATGATAGTATCTGAGCTACCATCATAGTCAAAAGGGCTTCTTGTTTTGGTCTAGTGTCGTTTGAGAAGATCTAGGATGTCCTGCCTGGTATCCATGTGCCATTGCAGATGACCACAAGTCATGTGCCGTAATTTCCAGCCTGTTGCAAATGTGCAATGTGTGCTAAAGTGCATCAAATGACATTGAATGTATATATTCTGGTAAATTAATAGAATGTAATGAAAATTCAATCCTCTCTAAGGAAGAATAGTGTGTGAAGTAAATGTGTAAGAAATTGACCATTTGTATTATATTATCTACCATAAAGTCCACCACAAAAGATGAACAGTGTAAATATACTGTATTCTCAGTCTCAGTGTATTTAAGTATGAAAAACCTGTGAGGAAAGTCTGTAATGTTTATATTTGCTTTTACACAAATATTTTTCTCTTCAATTTACAATTTTACTTCAAAGATACTACTACTGCCCCCAGTATATGCACAGAAAAGTGGTTTGGCTTATGTGTTGAAAACAGAGTATCTGCTTCACCCTCTTTGTTCAGATACAGGAGAGAGAAAAATACCAATTTGCAGCCTTGATGAGCTCCTGTGCTCATAGACAAGTACCATCACTACATTTTCTACGAAATGAATCCTGACATTGTATAAAGAATGCAAAACTCCCACTGAAGTAAAAAAAAAAAAAGCCTCATTCATATATCTGGGAGCAGAATTGAGCTCTCAGAACTAAACCAGTTTGCACTCACCTGCTGCTTTAATTCTGAAATGCATTTTCAATTGATAACTTCTATAAATCATGAATTGAGAGCAATGTGCTTTATCAAGAATACAGTATTCCCGTCACAAAGTGCCATCCAAGTGGGAAGCCCTCAAAAGTAAGCAAGAATGACCGGAACATTACAATCATATTCTTAAGAGTTCTCCATGACAGATTCTTGCATTGACCTTTACACATTTACAAGGTATCAGTTTTCATTTGGTCATTGTTGTTTAAAGCAGGAGAAGGCTTGCTCTTCTGACCATCAGTTCCTCCTTTGGATGTGTCCTGGAAGAAAAGCCTTGGCATCCACAGTGACATTAAAATTCGTTTGTATTCATTCCGAAAATTCTGGTTGAGAAGTCCGTATATTATTGCATTAAGGCAGCTGTTGAAATAGGCCATGAAGTAGCTTATAATGAATAACCATTCAGGAACTTTTGGTGCCATTTCCATAGGATCGATGGCTACAGCCAGTCCAATGAAGTTTAAAGGTGCCCAGCAAAAGGCAAAAATCACAAAAACCACAAACATGGTAAGAAAGTTTCTGAAGTCACTTGGCTTCAGTCTTGGCTTTGTTTCTGACTTGACCCGCCTTCTAACTTGAAGCACTAAAACCCAAATTCGAAGGTAGCAGAAGCTCACAATGGTGATAGGGACGATGAAGTGAATTACCACAACAGCTATTGTATAGTAGGAGCTTGCAGTCTGAACAAATGTGCATGAATAGATGCGTGGATCATACTTTAAAGAGCCAACAAAAAAATTTGGTACAGTTGCAATTACTGTTAATACCCAGACTAAGGAGACATACAGCATTGTGTTCCACCAGCTGTACACTTTGTCATAGGCAAAACTATGACATATATAGCAATATCGGTTTATTGCAATTGCAGTGATGTTGAAAATAGAGCCTATTACGCTTAGCCCCATCACAAAGCCACTCACTTTGCAGTGCATTTCACCTAAAGTCCATCCATTGTGGAAAATAGCTAAGAGCACCAGTGGGTATGGATACAAGGCCACCACCAGATCAGCCAAAGCCAAGCTCACCACAAATGCATTACCTGGGGAAAAAGAAAAATACATAGACATAAGTCTGAAAGCAAGCATAGTCATGAACAAGAAGAAAATAGGATACTTTAGTTTGGAAATCTGCAATGCTAAAGTATTGATGATGTCACCAGACAGTGCGTATATAGAACCAGTAGGTGTGTATGGGAAAAAGTTTTACAGTTCAGCTTAGAACACCATGAACATACCTGTAGGAACATGTCATTTCAAGTCTGTTGATGACTCAATTATATTCTCCTTTCTATTTTAATCTTTAATAAACTTAAACATCAGCGAGCCATCACATAAGCATGTGTTGTGTTGTTTCGGTGTGACTAACTCCACAGCTGGATTGAATAAGATGAAAAATGTCTAAATTTTGCCAGGTAGGCAGGCTGTTATGCCATTCTACTCCATCACTGGAGTACAACAGGCTCAATAGGTATCAAGGGGAAGGATATACAAAACAAGGGCTGTAGTGACTTGAAGGATGAATTGGCTTATGTCTGAATTGCTACACACTAGTGTGTAATACAGATATTATCTGCATGAATGGCCTACCCATACTGTAGTTATTTTCCCATTAGATTGACTAAGGAAGAGTTAGTTGCCTTTACCACCCTCTGTAGAAAGGCGTATTTAATTAGACAAAGGAAAAATGCATAAATGCAATTCAAATTCATAGGAGGAGCCTTTAGATCCTTTCTGCTGTTGATGTTTAAAGGTGTTTTAGTGATAGGGTTGAGACCTGAAAAATTGTGAAATCATTCTCTAGGAACTTCCCTGGAGACAGAAAAAAAAGCTACTAATGTTAGACTTGGCATTTAAGTAGCATAAAACATTTCTGGTTTACAGGCTAACTTCCTTGCTTCGAGTCCTTCACAGTGTGAACAGATGTGCAAAAGACCCAAGTAGCTTTTAAAATTGTTTGCGGAACATAATTTTTTTTTTACAAGAGAAATTAGATGCTCAGTCCTACATATACTGAGCTTTCTTACTTGTCATCTAGGAAGGCAATTTTCTGTTTCACTTGAAGCACAAAAAAATGCTGTGGATAATGATGTAATTAGCTGGGAACCATAAAACCAACTACCCTGTAGGATTAAACTCCTCAAAAAATGGCAGAAGTTCACCTGTATATTCTCTGCTCCACCTGTTCTGTATCTGAAGCTTGCTTAACCTGAATCAAGGAATGGGGACCTCTCTTCCTAACACTTTAGGGCAAGACCATGCTCATTGTAATTTGCATAACAGCAAGTGAACTTAACAGAATGCAAAATTATCCATCTGTACCTACAGAGGCATGATTCATATCAAAAGCAGTGTACAGTTTATTTTAGATGATTCCTTGTTACACACTTAGCAGCCTGTCTCACACTCTATACTTCAAAGGCCACACAGGTGTTTCCATAGCTATGGTTCAAGGACATGGTACTGGATATAAGGAAATTCCATGTTACTTGTCTTAGAATTAGGAAACTAAACCAGTAGTACTGTGTTGGCTTTTGTGCCCTCTCAAGCCACAGTCACTCCCTGCTTTAGGTTGAGGCATATCTATTTGAGTATGTTGTTTGACCTGCACAGGGATACATTTGCTGCTTGCTTTATATGTGCTATACTGAATACAATTCAGTAATATCATGCTGATGTGAAAAGTTAAGCATAATTTTCAGATTCAAAACTACATAAAATATTTTTTCTGTCTTACTCAGGATCGTTAAGATATCAGAAAAATCTCTCCAGTCTGGGGCTTTGAACTTAAAGAAAAAAATAATTAGAGTTGATCTAGAGCAAAGCAAATATCTGCTAGTTTTACAATTTTTGAGAAAAGACTGAACAAACTAGGGACAGGATTGAGAGGGGCATGATAACAATCATCAGATAAGCGAAGCAGGAAAGATATGACATTCCTGTGACTGTCCTGATCACATGTTTCAGTTACAACAAGGAAGTTTCACATTAGACATTGAGAAAAACATTTTAATGACAAGCAGAACAAAGTGCTGGAACTTCTTGCTTTGAGTCTGCCACTGGAGGTTGTAAGAAAAAGTTAAATAAACTTTTTTCAGTACTGGCCTAAATACAGCTGAGCCTTGTTTTGGGCATAGAAATGATGAGATGACTTTGAAGGCCTTTTCTAGCCATATGATAAATAGGAAAAAATCCCCAAAACTAAGAAAGGTGCAGGGCCATCTTTTTCAGAATTACATTATGGCAACAAGAATTTCTCTTATGTTTTTTCATCACTGTGTCTGACATTAGAAGATAGAGAATTCAGGAGAAAGAAAATAAAAAAATACTGGTTTAGAATGATTTTTTGGAGGAAGACTTTAGTCCAGGATGTGTGCTAAAATTAATCTAATCTCTAAAGCATCAGTTTATACCTAAAATGTAATTGTCCAATTAAAATCAAATGGACATTCAACTCTTTCAATCATATTGGGAAGTTTATTATAAAGTACATTTGGCCAGAGACTTTCAAAATTGTTTGTGTAGTTTAGGACTTCTTGAAAATTCCAGCTGCAATGAATAAGGACAGTTAGCAATGAACTTGTCAAAAATATAGTGTACCACTTCACAACATGGAAGAAAAATGGTGCAATATCTATAAAGGCCTCAAGCAGTTTGTCAGTTTTATGGCTGTTTACAGGGTCAATGTTCACACTGTGCACTGAAAAGTAAGGTCCAGTGTTTTCTTTCTATTTGGCTGAATGTTGGATAAAGTTTAATATATAATTGCAATGAATAATCTAGAGAAGTAGAGAGAAACTTTTCTTATTCATAAAAAATAGACAATCAACATTTTGAGAAGTCAAAAATCTTAGATGTCTTTTAAGGGCTTGGAGAAAGTAAATGTTCTTGATACACCTAAGAGAGTATTTGAAGCGGTTATAGTTACATTCATAACATAATCAAAGAGGTAACTTTTTGCTAACTGTAACAAAATAGAAACCACAGAATGCTCATCTAGTTGGAATTACTATCATTATTTCCATCATTTACCCCATGGACTTTGTTCCTAGATTTCAGTTTCATTAGAGAGAAGATTATATTCATTTATAAGAAACACATTTGTTTGCTGGGATGGAAACCCCCTAATTACAAGCAGTAGCTACTAAAAGCCAAGTATCTAGCCAGGGACTCAAAAAGATACACATCTGCACTTTTTGAAACATTAATAATTGGGTTTATAGCAAAGAAAATAAGTTCTGATATTGACTTCGGGTGCAACAGAACTAGATTGATATTTCATGACACATTCTTGCATACTGGTTTTGTTACCCCAAGTAAGAGGAAAAAATGGACCTTTCTCACCTTTTTGCAATCTTTATGTGACTTGACATGCTAGGAATTTAATCACAAAACAAACTTTTTGGTAAGGTCAGGACTTCTAAGGGTTAAGCATCTGCCCTCTGAAAATACAGTTGTCTCTACCAAAACCGGAAGCAATTGCTATCACCAACCATTTTTTAAAGGTTTTTCTTCTTTCTTAGGTTTCAAACTGGCTAAAATGATTAGATATCCTGGTGGTTTATTTTTCATGCAATGGTGTTTCAATTGTTACACAGTTGTTTAACAAGGTGTTATACACTGCATACAGACATCACCCACAGCTCTGTTTTCCACTGGCTACAGTCATGTTTGTCCTTGTGTACATTTCTGCTTGCATTACTCTTGTCTTCTTTAGCAAAGGCTAAAATTGTTTCTACACACCCTGTTGTTCAGACTGTTTTTCTGTGCCTCCTCCTCTCCTACAATCAAATTTGGGTTGCTGTGTAGCAGCAAATGTAATGAGTAGGGACAGGCAAGGGAGAAAGTGAATGACTATGACTATAATGCATCGGCAGACTTTTTTTAAATGCCATGGATCAATGACTCAGAATAGTTATTCTATACTTCCATTTCCCTATCCTTACCTTAAGGGAAAACTCAGAGTTACTCTTGCAGATTCCTTACTTTTTTATTTCTTCAGTTGGAACGTAAGTGGGAAAGCTCTTTGTTTGGGCTTAAGGCTTAAAACCTCCTCTAATAACCAGCACTATGTAATTAAATAGCCTTTTATACTGACTGAGAATGATAAGAACTAGAGTTTTTCTATTATATCACTCTGTCAAAAACCTGTAGTTATTTATCTGTGCTAAAGGAAGAGGAGCAAAATTTTGACTTTAATAAAGAAAATAAAAGTCCTATCTCTCTATAAAATGAAGCCAACCATTCCTCTGCAGAGTGCACAGTAATAGACAACCTCAAGAAGATGTTAGACTGCCAGATTCTCTGTCCATAAACACTAGACATATCACCTCACTCTTCAGCTCCCTTTTTATTCTTCTGCCAGAGTTCTGTAGCCCCTGTACTCAAAATGAACTTAAAAAGAACAGTTCTGGAAGATTTCTGATAGCTTTCTTAAAGGGGTTGATGTATAAGGACAGATCTGAGCTCAATTTCTAGGCAGACTTAAAGTCAAAGACCCAAGATATCACTTCAGGGATGCATGGTGTCCTCCATTCTGTAAATTACTGTTATATAAGCAATAAGCATAGAATTTTTTTTTTCTCTAGTTTTTAAAATGTTCACAAAATACGCAACATAAGTCTAATCTTTTAGTTCTTTCCCATAACTCATTACAAGAAAAAACCCAAGGTTTACAGTCTTGATCATAATTAGGAATTTCTGTAAGTGATATGTCACTTGCACAGGAAGTCCTTCCTCAGCTGTGACATCACATCTCTCTAATAAAGGTAACCTTGATACTGATACTAGGCTTGGTACGGAAGTTTGTGATTACCAGCAATTTGTGGGGAAAGAAAAAAATATATAGTTTTAACCTTAATGTTACTGCCTTTAATGATATGATATGATATGATACGATACAATACGATACGATGTGATGTGATGCGATGTGATGTGATATGATATGATATGATATTGGTGTAAATTATCTGCCTTTTAGGCTTCTTTAATGACTGCTGAAGTTAATGGGAGAATTGCTGTAGACTTAAAGGAGACATTAGTCAGATACAAGAAAATAAGGGCCTCATCAAGAATATGAAATACTGAAAGCATTTGGTCCATATAAAAAGATGAACAACAATGAAAAAAAAAAAAATGAAGCACTTGAATTATATTTGGATGTAAAAGAACAAAAATCAAAGCCTAAACCCCTTTCATAGTTTCACAACCTTTAAAAGAGCAGATCTTACCTTCAAAGAGAAATAGCAGTGCATTAATGCCAAGGCATGTCAACCGTGATTCACTACAGTAAGTGGCTTATTGGCCCTATTGCTTGAGTCTAGACCAACACAGAGTTTGAAGAGACATATGTAACAGCTTCAGCAGTCAGTCCTTCAGTAAAGAAGGCTGTCCCTCTTTAACCTTCTTGTCTATAATTACTAATAGAAATTATGCTACTCTGATAAAGTATTGCCTTGAACTTTCTTGTGCAGAGTCATCTTTTGAGAAACAGGCCTAAATACAATTTCCAGGCTCCAGACCCTACTGAATCCTCATTAGAGTGCATCTCAAGGTCTGGACCAGATAGAACAGGAGCGTACTCCACTAGCAGAAAATTGGTATAAAAATTACTTCACATGTCTATGTCTCCACTCTTGGTTGGGTAAGAATAGCTCTTAGACTGAAACTGAGGACCAATTTGCTCAACCAAACCATTTAAGCACAGATCCATCTAAGCGCCAGCCTGAGTGCAAACCCGAGCATGGTATGAGTGGTTTTCCAGATCAGAGTTCAGGATTTCGCAAAAACAGATGATTACCATGATGAAACTGTGGAGCCAGTCCTACTCCTGAAGTTTCTTCATTATATGTACATCCACGTACACATGGATATTTACTATTTCTTAAGCTGATTATCTTTCTAAAGATTTCAGTTACTTTTTGGCATATTTTATGCAATGATTATGTAGTAAGATAGAAGGTTATGCTTTCAGAGCCAGGATTTCTGCTAAACATCCAGGTGGTGGCTTTTAAATGAAAACCCTGTCCACGTCATTGCTGGTTCTTGATGCAGCCAGTGACAACTACCTTTTCTGACCAATCATATTTTCAATGGGCTCCATTCTTGCAGCTCATTTCCGGCTTGGTTGTGGGGGTTGCCCTTAAGGATTGCTATTTAATGTGGAGAATCCCCCATGCCTCTGGAGGGACTGAAGAACTGGTACGAGGTAGGCAGGCAGAACTAACGTTTCCTCTTTCCAGAGTGGCTCAGTGCATATGGCTCAAACAGCATGCAGGGAGACATTTGCTATTCCTGGAGAAAGGCTGATGCTTCTTACTTCCTCACTACTGATATTTTTCTCTAGTTTTGGCTTCTTTGATCAGTAACTTTTTACAGTATTTAAGCTCTTGTATTTCTTGCATTTTTGTTTAAACAGATAAATTTTAAATCTGCCTAAAATACCCTGTATCAATTCTTTTTTTTTTTTTTCAAAATCCTTCATGAAAAATTCCATTCATGCCAGTAGGAATGAAGCCACCAGAAGTGGACACTGGCAGGAGGTGGAGCAGAGAATTGTCTTTCACACATTGACATTTGAACTCCCTCTGACACTACAAGCCAAGAACTAGGGTAATCTTTGATTTACCAAAACATATTAATCTAATATAATGTTTAACAGTGTGTTACTAACAGGAGTTTTAACACAATGCTTCAAGGAATTTCCAGATGGGGCTTTGTTTTCTTTGAATATGACAGTTTAAAAATGGTGATACTATCCTTTGTAGTTATGTTTCATAATTTCAGTTATTAGCTGGGTATAGCGCAGACAGTGATGTAACAGAATGGGACAGGCAATGTATTTTCACTAGAACTGGAGTATTTTAGAGACTCTAGCAAAAAATATAACATAGACAATGAATCAAGGCTGGTCTTTGTTCTACATAATGTTCAGGTTATTTCTTTTTTAGGAAATGTATGTTTTATGAAACTGTTTAAAGTATTCAGTGAGTATAATTATCCTCTGATATCATAAGGAAAATTCTCTACCATCACTGAAAGTACTATATAGAGAGCAGAAGGGGAATATTTACTGTGCAGTTTTCCTTTTATTGTGCAGCTGCCCAAAGACTTGGGGAGAGCTTTCTCTTCAGAAGAAATTCAGGCCTAGCACCCTAAAAGTTTAACACCTGTGTTTTCACAGAAAAGTCTATCCAGACTAAATAGCATTTAAACCTTGGACACCCACTTTCTGGATGAAAGCACTACACTATTATGTAAAAGACAAAAAGAGAAAATTTTTGTTTTAAGATGAAACAATACAAACACCCCACTGTGGGATAATTCAGTGAAGAATGCTCTGCAAACCCTTTTTTCAAGCTGTGCTGCAATGCAAACAATGCAGGATTCACAGGAATAGAAGCTCAACATGTAAATATGAACCGGAGGTTGTGCCTTAGTGACTTGCAGACTGCTGGACTGCGACAGACTTGTGTTCATGGTCCTAGATCTGCAACTGTAAATTGGTGCTGGAAGCTACATTTACAGGAGCTGAATTTTAGGTTTATAAGCCAGAGCTCTCAGGTGCCAACACAGTCTTGCTGAAATGAGACACCTAAGTTGCACTGTTGATTAATATGTTTTTGAGATCATGATTTTGGCATGCTTGGCAGCCAGGTATGAATATAACCCAGTGAGCAAAGCCTCCTGTTTTCTCACGTGATCAGGCTTCTCCCTGTGGTTAAATACAGGACTGCCAGTACTTGATGTGAGTTTGCTGACATGAGTTCCATAACAGACTGCAGGTGCAAAAAAACCCAAAATATATTTCTAATGCTGTGCTGTTAAAAATTTAGTGAAGGTTTGGGATTTGTAACCCCTGGGTGTGTAATTTTCTGGGCCATGGCTTCCTCTGGTGCAAGCAGGGGCAGTGGTCACTACAGACACGTAGTGCACTGGTCGCAGCAGGGGCACTGCCTAGCAGGGTGGAAGGCAAAAGCGAGTGGTTAGTTCTTCCAGAGCAGAAGTTTGATTGTTGATCAGATAGTACATTTAGGGGATGCTAAATACTTTTCTGGGCTTCTGGTACTTTCTGAGATTGCAGTACTAGGTGTTTTCCCAAGAGAAAATGGGAAGCAGAAGGGGTGAGACAGGCTCTTCTAGAGAATTCCCTATTGCTTTGTGGTTAGGAAACTTCCAAATTAGAAGAGCCTTGCTTTGAAAAAGGACATGAGCCTATGTCTCCCATAGTCCCAGGAGAGTTCCCTACTCACCAGCCCTGCTGCACTTCTGGGGTTACCCTGCCTGTCTCTTGCTAGATTATTTTCAGGAATTTCACCCTAGAACCAGAACACACACATTATCGTTTACATTCCAAGCGCTCTTCATCAGTCTGTCTCAAAGCAGGGAAAGAAAAAATGCTTCTCATGAGTGAACAGGTGGGAAACTGAGACAGGTGCAGGGACTCTTCCAAGACACAGATCAGGAAGAACACTCCAGGTTCATGAACCTTGCTCTGTTCTATTAGATAACACCACTGCTATTAGGCACACTCATAAAAATGGCAGTGCCTGAAAGAAGAGCCAGAGCTTTGAAGAGAATTCAAAGCAAACAAAAGGGGGTGATTGCTGCAGTAGGTAGTAAACCTGTGGAACTCCTTAACAGATCTTGCAAAAATTTTGCAAAATTTTTATACAAAAATTATGCAAAAATTTGCAAAAATGATGCAAAAATGTAAAAATTTGCAAAAATTTGCAAATAATTATGCAAAAATTATACCTGTATGCAAGAGAAAGCTGTAAAAATACTTGAAAAAGACATGGGTTGAAGGTTACTAAACAGAGGTAATGTACTAGGTTCAGGAAATCCTCTGAGCTGGAAGGAATCACAGGTTGAGAGAATACAGGAGAAGTGTCATATAGGGTTGCTCTGTTCTGGTTTTTTGTTTTTCTTTTTTTTTTTTCCTGAGTGCCTGCTTGCATCTACAGTTAAAGAGTATGAGGCTAGCTATGCCCTTGGTCTGTACCCATACAACTGCATTTACGGTGAGGACAGTAGTTTCAGTGACATCATTCAGAAGCACAGCTTCTTCTCAGGCTCCCTTGTGCTGATCTGAGTGGCAGGAGTTGACGTTCTCATTCAATTCACATCCTTGTCAACCACTCCTTTTATACAACCAGCCAAGTTTTGTTGACAAAATGTTTGAAGAGGCAATAACCTTGTTCTGTATGACTTGCCACCTGCCACTACGCTACATTTTGCAGCAGGCTCGAGGTGAAGATCCCTTAAACCAATGCCTTCACAGTGAAGTCATTGCTTTCAAGGTAGTCCAGGATGGTGAAAGGCCCCTGATGCTGCTGAGTGTCTCTAGCTAGAGTACTATTGCTCTTCATGGAGGGAATGAAGCCAAGACATTTACCCAGAGTGTTTACCCAGAGAGTATCCAGTTGCTGAGCACGATCACTGAAATACAACAAAACCAGTCTGGTTTTTTCACTAATTCATGAAAGAAGTTGTGTTTCCTGTATCTGTCAGTGCGTATGAGCTTAATTTTCTTCAGCTGAAGTAATCACAGTTGTTGATTACTTCGACCAAGGAAGAATAGGAAACCTACATGAACAACTGCAAGTATGAAAACTCATTTACTGCTGACAAAGAGGCTAATATGAAAAGCTGTAAAACACAACAGGTGCAGTTTCATCAGAACCTATAAATAGCTAGGCATCATATTTTGATAATAACTTTCTTTTTTTTTTCAGTCTCCCAACACTATATTGCATTTCATAGGAAAAAAAATAAAGGTACCATTTTGTAGGATGTAATTTTGCTTAAAAAAAACCAACAAACAAACAAGACAAAACCGAAACCCAAACAACTTGGTTCAGATGAGCTCTGAAAGACTGGAGTGTGTAAGCAAATAAAGTAAGGACATTTCACTGCTAAAAACTATGAACAGAAGTTTATTATGTCCTGGCAGACATTGATTTATATTGAGTGAAAGGCTACCTCATCTTCTATTACCTTCACTATTACCTTCTATTACCTTCATCTTTGCTACAGTCTTTAGCCTGAATTTGTGTCAAAGGAAATTACGTTGTGTTTTTTCTCTTTTACAGCAACAAAACAGTGTTGAGATCCTTAGAATAGCTTATCTTCCACCTTCTTTTAGAAAGGAGGACAGGAAATTGAAGAATGAAAATAATTTTGTGCAAACAAGACCCGCGTTTTGTTAAGCTAGTTGGTGGGTGGTGGTTTTTTTTGGCTTGTTGTTGGTTTTATTTTTTTTTCTTTTAATATTCACTAGCACATTAGTTGAATTAAAAAAAAAATCAAACCACAACAACATTAAAAAAAACCCAGAATAGAAGAATTCTATTTTGAGGTATAAGGCTCAAGATATTAGAGAAGATAATCAAAATTTCCAATGGAAACATCGAGTGAATAAAACTGGGACAATTGCAGACTATGGGACACAAAAAAGATTTGGTTCACTGTGATACGGTGCATCTTGTAGCTTTGCACTGTAGACCCATTTAAACAGAACAGAGAATTTTGACCAGTACAAATGTTGGCATCTCGTCTGTGGAAATAAAGACATGGAAGGGGTAATTTCCACAGTGATTTACTCAGCTGCTCTGTGGGGCTCCAGACCGTAGGACTTGCAGTGTAAGACAGCTACAGAACCAGAAACAAGCACATGCAAAGCACGTACATGTCAAATTACAACTGCAAAAAGAAAATAAATCTAAGCCTATTATTGTTGCTATGTACTTTCAGAGGTTCCTATGTTCAACTCCTAGACACACTGGGGGATCCTAAGACAGTCTTGGAATTCAATAAAATGGGATCTGATACACTGCAGTAAATATAATATATGGGAACATGTAGTATGAGAAATACCTAGGTTGACAAGTTGCCAATGCTTCTAACATTCTCAAGTATCCCTTCATTATGATCTTCTTTTCACTCTTATTTCCTATTTCACCAAGGAAGAAAATGGATGATACCTGATGAAAATTACCATTATAACCTTTCAGTGAGGAAAATTCTTACCCTTTTTGTTCTGAGCTTTTGGAACGCCTCATCACTGTACATGCATAGGGAGATGATTGTCTTCAGAAGCTGTTGTCAGTCTGTGCCATCTGCTTCTTTTGGAAACAAGGTCTTAAAGCAAAGTACGCTAGCATGATTCATGTTATAATGATACTCACAGGTTGTACACAGCATGTAAACAGATGAGTAAATAAAATGCTTTTACAGAAAGTGATTGTGTATTCACTTCTAAAGTGTTGGCTTGTTTGTGTTTCAACTAAATACGAAGCGTGTAATGATGATTTCCTGAATTAAGGTCTTTTCTGAGAGCCAGCAAAAGCCTTGCAAAATGACTAGACAAAAACTCTCTTCTGGTTGGGCCTGTGAGTCATGATATTGGTGAGGTAGGTAAATGAAGGGAGATAGGCATGGATATATAACTACAGAATCATTTAGTTTGGAATGGACCTCTGGGGATCATCTAGTCCAACCCTCCCGTTCTAAGAGGGGCCAACTACAACAGGTTGTTAGGGGCTGTGTCCAGTCAGGTTTTGACTATCTCCAGCCATGGAGACTCAACAGCCTCTCTGACTGACCTGTTCTAGAAAGGAACAGGTATGCAGGATATTTGCTGTTTTCACTAAGCAATAGGCGGAAGATGCTGTTGATTTTGCACCAAGTGAAGGCTCTATTTGATCTCTGAAGTAGCAGAGGTTATCTAAGACCATACCTGCTACTATGTAAGTAGAAAACAGATGTGGTCATTAACAGTGAACTAGAGTTTCTTGGTCAGAAGAAGAGGTGCCAGTGCAGATCAGAGTAGGTGGGGCTTTGTTTTGTTGATGCTTGTGTCTTCAGATTCCTTGTGGCAGCAGAACCTGAACAATCTCTGATGGGACAAAATGGTCTGAGCAACAAACATTTACAGGCCTGGGGAAAGGAGGATCGATTGCGGTGAGGGCTGCACAGAAAGAGGGAAGAGGCACCAGATTCTAGCAAAAATATTCTTTGAAACAAATTCCCGCTGGTTGTAGCAAGGCCAGTATTTCCCTCCTTATGAAGGTGCTCAAATACGAGCTTCAGCTTACCCAGGTTGCAGAATCCTTTTCCACATGCTATTTTGATGCTCTTTAAGCACTGTGAACTGCAACTAGCCATTCAGACTAACTCCTTGTGAGAGTCCTAGCTGTCACCCAACTGAGACCTGGACGCCTGTGGTCCAGAAACAGCAGTGACTTCTGCCTCTGTGAAGTGCTGAATCACACCTCTTTTACTGGGTGAATACACCTGCAAACTGTGACAAACCAATGCCATTTTTACTAAATCAAGCTCAAATGGGAATCACTGTTGAATATATTAGATGATAATGTTGTGTTTGAAAGTCAGGTACTTCACCATTTTGTTTGCTCTCCATAAGCAGACCATATTTAAGCAGGAAGATGACTGTATAGCAAGTTTTACAATCTTTATGGTTTTAGCCTATTAGGGGTTTCATAAGAGTGACTGACGAGGATTACATTGTCTTGAGATTATCTAAGTAAAGGCATAATTACAGGATATCAAATTAGTTATATTTTGCTCAACTTTGAAGCAACAAGTGTTTAGTGCTTAAATTAGAATCTTGAGAGTGTAGTTAATGTTTCATAGCTGGCACCATAATCATAGGTAAAATCTTTAAAATATTTCAACCCACTTACTAGTAGATCACATTTTATAGGCAAATCACTATGATTAAACTATCTTTTTACAAGACCTACTTCAACATTTGATTAACATTTTACATATTTTGTTGCTAATGACTGCAAAAGAAAGCATAAAATACAAAGAAAGGAAAATCTTGCTTAACATGAAAACTGATTCAGAAAACAATCTATTGTCCATGGACAATAACCCCATCGGTGAATCTAATAAGCATTTTTGCAGTCACTTCAGAGGTCTCACATGTAGGCTTTGTGTCTTTGAGTAGAACTGCTCTGTATTTATACAGCCCATAGTAACTTTCTGCCACTATATTTATGCCAGTAAAATACCTGGAATATACCAGTGTACTACCTGCCTCTTTATATTTTCTTTCTGTCATGACTTCTCACATAACAAGATAAACCATATAGTGATGCCAGCCCTCTATTAATCAAATAATTATTGCATTATCTAAGTATTAAGACTTTCTGTTTAACAGAAGATTATTTAATTTTCTGCCAGGTGTCTGTGCTGATGTAATTAAAAATGTGAAAAGTGTGCTACTTTGTTTTCTCTTTTGGAAAATTCTTTTTGTGTTTCAGTTAAGGGTTGGACCTACTGATGCAGAATATTGTTGAGAGTTTACCTCCCAGTAAGTATCACTTATACTGCAAATACAGAGTTCTGCCAACACAAACTATTCTCTTCCTATCATTTATCAAAAGGCTATCCCTTGTTTAACAGATGACATGCAACCAAAGGCATCAGTACTGCCGCAAACCTATTTCCAGTACTGGGGGAACCCAGCATTGCAAACAATACTTGAGGTGTGGCCTTAGGAGTGCTGAGGAGAAGGATTACCTTCCTCTGCTTGCTAGAAATGGTCTGATGCAGTCCATGAGGCTGTTGGCCTTGTTGGCTGCAAGGATGCAATGGTAGCTCAGGATCAGCTTGGTGTCCACCATGACCCCAGGTCCTTCTCTGTCAAGCTGCTTTCCAGCTGGATGTCCCCCAGCATATACTGGTGCCTGGAGTTGTTATTCCTCAGGTGCAGGACTTTGCCCTTCCCTTTGCTGAACTTCATGAGGTTCCTGTCAGCCCATTTCTCCAGCCTGTCCCTGTCCCTCTGAATGGCAGCATGACCTTCTGTCCTATTAGCCACTCCTCTCAGTTTTGTATCATCTGTGAACGTGCCAAGTGTACACTCCAGTGCATCATTTGGGTCATTAATTAAGAAGTTAAAGAGCCTTGGTCCCAGTACTGACCCCTGAGGCACACCACTGGTGTCTTGCTCACTTCCTGGACTTCATGCCACTCATCACAACCCTCCTGGGCTCAGTCATCCAACAGTTTTCAATCTACCTCACTGTCCACTTCTCTAAACCCTATGTTGTCAGAGAGTCTATGAGGATGTGATAGTGTCAAAAGCTTTACTAAAGTCAAAGTAAACAAGATCCAGTGCTCTCCCCTCATCCAGCAAGCTAATCATGTCATTGTAGAAGGCTGTCAGGTTGGTTAAACATGATTTTCCACTTGTAAATCCATGCCGATGACTACCAATCACCTTCTTGTCCTTCGTGCTTTTTGAAATGGTTTCCAGGATTAGTTACTCCCTCAGCCATTCATTACCTTACTAATGAAGCAGAAGTGGTACCTTCTTACAGCATCCTGCAGTATTATTGACTGCCTTGTCTTCCAACCCTTAATTAAGTCAAACTTTGCTTTGGTTATGATATAATTAATCTAAAAAGCAATACCTGAGAATGAGACACTAATTGGAAACATGTCACATGTTCTCATAGGCTGAGGCTGCCCACAGGCTTGTAATCCTGTTTTGAAAATAAATTAGAAATGAAATTTCTGGAAGTATTCTGGAAGTATTCCGGAAGGCATTGGAAGTCTTTAAATAAGTTGTTTTGGCCTCAGTGGTACTGGCAGTGTTTGGGGTAAAAGAAGGAATACATAGCTGCAGCTTTTATGTTTTCCAAAGAACTTATCTCTCAGACCTTTGCACATTCTTGTTATTTATATTTCATGAATGAAGCACAGGTCATATGAAAGAGCATAGCATTTTGCTCAGAACAGAATGCCCTTTATAGGTCCCTGTCTTTTTTTCAGGAGTATATTCTACTCTTTGATGGTAGCTCTGAACTTATAATTAGTTAACATAATTATATTTGTAGGGGTGATCCATTAAGCTGATATGTTTCCTGATCTTATTAGCCAGAATACTATCTCCAGTGCCTGTATGTAATATTTCTGACAGCAATCATTGCCCTTATTGTGCATATATGGCAATCTACCATAATCGATAAATAGATGTTTTTCTATACAAAACCAGTAACGTTTTGAAAAGGATTATGATTTTTCTTCAGACATAATTTAAGCAGCATTTATTAAACAATGTAATTAAATATCTCTATAATTAATGCATAATTAAAAAAGAATCCTAGCAATCAAGATCCTTGTCATTTGATGAATATGTTTAAGCTGTTGTTATCTGTTGTCATGGCAAGAGGTGACTGTCCCATACGCAGCTGAAATGTCAGGAAAATATTGACTCTCTGATATAGTTCATTCATCAGTATTGAGACTGAAAGTAAAGTAAAAGATTCCAAAGCAGCACTGTTGTTAAGAAGGACAATGGAGTTGCACCCACAGTGATTTAGACATATTTCTGTTAGCTTTTAGTGTCAGGAAATCTGTTTCATGCCCATATCAAGGCAGAAGTCTAAAAACCCAGAACAAATGCTCAAATTGATTTGTAGGAAGATGAAAGTTACCATTACATTTTCTCCTTTCTGCAAAGGAAAAAAAAAAATATTTTATCAGCTCAAGATAACATCACTGTTTTCATATGTATTCATGGGAACAAGGCAAGATACTTGACAGTCTACCTGAAGGTACCAATATGTGGTTGTAACTGGTAATTTCCAAGAAGCAAAAATCTGGAGCATATCCAAAGTTACTGGTACTCAGAACAGGTCTGCATTGAAGAAGGGGTAAAATTTACTCCTGGAGGCAGAGAACACGTTATTATTCATTTAATGAGATTAACGTAATCTCCTATAAAATCCTCAATAGAATGGTACAAGTCACCTGATGAATATATATCTGCCAAGAAGAGTTGAAAAATTAGTCTTGTAAAATGAGCTGTCCTGGCTTTCTCTGAGTAGATTTGGTCTCTTAGCTCTTTGGCTGATTGTGTCAAAGAGCAGCATGTATCTTTGAATTGCTTCTGCTTGTCTATCCAAGAATAGAGTTTTACTGCAGAGGGGTCATGCATCATGCAGTCACTGAATCTTGTGAAAAAAATGCCAGTCCAGTGTCCAGGAGACAGCTTACAGCAAAGAGTGCTGCAAAGACACACTGGTATTGCCATACTACAGCTGCCAAGATGTCCTTTGAATTTCCTGTCTCTGAGGACATGTTTGCATTGGTTATTTCAGGGAGATGAGAGGAAACTTATTCATACTCTGAGCTGAAAAGAAAAAGCTGAGTAACTGTTAGACTTGGACCTGTGGAGAGCCTCGGTATGGTGTTGCAGGCAAAGCATCATACTAACATCATCCTTTGATTTTCCCTTTGCTCAGAACAGAGTTAGAGTGGACTTATGCCAACTGAAAAACACAATGTAAATATATCCTCAGTTTCTTCCATTAGAGGTTCAAGAAAACTCTTACAATTCTCCAGTTCAACTAATTGTTTATCATTTTTAGGTTCCTTCCAACCCAAACCATTCTATGATTCTATTTATCCTAAAGACAAGCAGTCCCTTAGCTTCATTTACCCAGTGGAATAGAACTCAGCATTTTATTCTAAAATAAAGATGTCTTGGAGCTGATCTTGGCAATATACATCCTATTCCTTTATCAATAAATTGATCACTTCCTTTACAGAATGAAAATATTGTAATTTAGAGATATCATCCAATATGGTACTTCCAGGTTATATCAAAGGAAGATACAAAGTACTCTATAGCTGTAGAATAACCTGCCTCAGGCTACAATTTTACCCTAATCCTTAGTTGCTAGAATTTGGTTTAGAACTGCCACTAACACATACCATACATTCTCCAATTTTTGGTAGCATTAGCCATTATCATTTTGAACTATCAAAATATTCAGAGAATAGACAGTAGTTTTTTAAATTTACCAAAATACTGACTTCTAGAGTTTACTTAAATTCTGAGAAACTTTAAGAAATTTTAGCATCCTCCATCTCCAGATTACGCTGAATATGTCCTTGGTCTTGTTTCATGATTCTCTAGGTGATGAAAAAAAAAGATTATTTTAGTCTAACTTCTCTAAAGCTATCCATTATTTTACATACAGCACCATCTAAAGCTGTCTCCTATTGCTTTTGAAGAAACTGTTTATCTCCTCAGGATTCCCTGTGATGCAGAATGAGCCAGAAGTTATTTTTCTCCTTTATGTTGTTTCTGTATGCCTAAATGCTTCTTTCAATACCCTTAGGCTGATAATTTCCTTACAAACTTTCTACTTCCAAAATATTTTAAAATTACATACACTTTAGATTTCTTCTTATCTAGAATATCCTTAGGTATCTGATTTTCAGTTTTTCCAAGTTTACTTGCAAGGTTTACTTCCTTTTGCTGAAGGGTGCATCCTTTGTTAAAATAATTTTCCTAATTTACAAATGAACAACACTGACTTTTCGCTTTGATCATCTACTTTTGGAACTATTGATAGATTAACAAAATTTAAAGTTACCATTTCATATGTAACTTGAAAGATTTATTTTCTCATCTGGTTGCTGTTTGAACCAAGTCTCACAGAAAAAAGAATGGAATTGCTGAGGCACTTACTCTGTTTGCTCTCCAAAAAAAAATAGGAGTGTAATTAGAAGTATGAGATGAATCATGGGTACATGACTAAATAAATCTAGAAGTGATGTGTAAAGACTTGGAGTATTGCTCATTTGGAGGTATTCTCTGAGAAGAGGTTTCATATCTTCATAGAAAGACTTCACCTAAGCATATGGGATACCAGCTTGCAATCCAAGCTGGCACAATGAATAAAAAGAACTTGAAATTGAGAGTTGGGAAGAGAGCCTGAAAAGGAATCATACAGTTTCTTCTTTTAACATCCAAGGCAGGGGGAATTTTGGCTTCAGGAAGGTGGTGGCAACAAATATAGAAAATAGGATCTCAGAGACTAAGGGGTTTGACTGTAATAGTAATAAGAATAGCAGTAGAGTCAGTAAAGGATTGCCAGGAACCAGTGTAACCATGCAACAAAATAGGGGATCCAAAACCAGTGAAAGATTCAAATTAAACTTTATGAAAAAAAAAATTGGTTGGAATGGAATTGCAGCAATTGTCAGAGAAGAGAAATATTAACTGAAGGTGAATAGTCTTCATAAAACAAAGCAGGGGAGGGGGGTGGTGTGTGGGAAGGGGCGGGGGGGAGATGAGAT